ATGGACATTCGGGGTGCGTGCGGTGGCCTGGGAGTCCCGAAAAATTCTACAAAAATTTCTAAAATTATTTTATGGGATTTTGAAACACTTACTAAGCTCGGTTTAAAATTTTGAATGGTGGAGAGCTCGATTTTAAAATGTCAAAAACTTTAACTTTCTCACCTCCTTTATGCGTCGGCGATGACGGAGACAAGAATGACACTGGTGGACTCGGAACGACACAAGGAACACGATGGTGCGGGAGGTGTCAAAAACGGAGCAACGATCAACGATGAATCGATGATTTTCACGGCGGTGGTGTTAAAAAAACTTTGAAACTTTGATTTGAAATTCACGATTTTAGACAATGTTTCACGATGAGAGGTTTACGGGGTTTTGTTCACCGGTTGACGACGAACACGATGGTGGTTTCGGATCGACGAACGGTGGCCGGACGGTGGAGAAATCGGCCTTGAGAGAAGGGGTGCGGGGGTGAACAAAATTTGGAATTTGATTCTGGTTTCCAACCATAAACCAAATTCACGCATTTATGAAGAATTCTCTGTCGACACAAAATGGTCAAATTCAGGGCTAGGTCCTTAAATTTCCTTCAACTTCTAAAATGGCCTACAAGTTCTGGAAACTTTTAATTTGGCCCTTAAATTTCACCAAATTGATTAAATTATATTTTTTCCAGGTTGTTACATGATCTGAAATGGGGAAAACAATTCGAAGACTGAGCTTTGCAAGCTCAGTAATACACAACTATTCAATTAAAGCTACATGCAAGGAGTAATGCAAGCCGATTAAACATAAATATGGTATGAAGTATTTACAACATACGTCACACTTAATAGCAGAAATAGTCACAAACTGATCTCACCTCTAAGCTTGTTAATAACATTAACAAAGTAGATTTAGTGAGCACAAAACCCTAATCAGATGTTCACAAATTGTTACACAAGCTGAAGGGAATATTATAGACGATGATATTTATATAAATATCACAAATTAGATAAAAATGTTGTCACATATAAAAATAAGTAGTGCTTATATATATAACATATGGGTTGCATTTGCATCAAATATTGGGTATCCAGATAGTCTTGCGCCAGTAAGGTCGTATGATCATAATATTAGGTGTCCGTATTGTTTTTCCCGATCGTCACTAAATTCATTCAAAATAATACTGCCACAAGATCGTGCATAGTAATACTTACTATTACAATCACATACGTCATTTTAGAGAGTACAGAAAGAGCATACAAATAATACTAATGATGGTAATCACATGACTAAATTATAAAATTTATAAATAAATACATGTAAACTTATACCTAACAAAGCATTTGAGGACTAAAATAAATAACATACAAACAGAAAAGGGCAAAACATGATATTTCCCCCAACTATTTTACAATCTGCTATTGTCTTCATTTTATTTACGTGGGCCCCTCTAATAAAATTAAAACATTTCTTTTCTTTCTTTTTTTATTAGTAACTTACAAACAATATATATATATATATATATATATATATGAATAAGCTGACCCTGATCCCATATGTAATGGAGTAAGGGGAGGTAAGGTAGTAGGTTGTCTCTAACGCTAGGTTGAGAGTAATTTCCGTGGAATACCTCCGGCAATTATGAATTACCCACCGTGGGACTCGATCCCACGACCACAAGATTAAGAGCCTTGCGCTCTACTAACTGAGCTGGACATGAAATTATATATATATATATATATATATGTTCTCCAAACAATTGGATCGTAAACTCACCGAAACTTTAAACCCCCATCTCCCTGTTTGTTTCTTTTATTTCTGCCTCACTGTTCGGATTCCTTTCTGTTTTTTTTTTTTTTTTAATCCTTTAAAGCCAGAAGGTTTCATCTCTTTCTTTAAAAAGTTTAACTAAATTACAAACCTAGTTTATAATATTATAATATCATGTAAACCACAATTACATTATCCTTATTATTTTTTCAACCTTTAAAGATTTCATAACCAAATCAACAAACACATAATAAGCAACCATGCACCACATTACAACATACATAGAGCACATCAAATAAGTTGAGTATTAACTTTAAGTTTCAAGAACGAAACTTCTTTCCTCAACCTTCAATGACAACTCCCTTCTCCTTAGCTTCGGAAGTCTCTCCTTGCTTCTTAGCTAACAACACAAGAAGGGGAAGCTTTAACACACAACAAAATGATTAGGAGAAGATGAAAGTCATGTGGGAATAACAAAAACGAGCTAAGACTATCTATGTTGTCTTCAACACTAAACCCCACTTTTTTTTAAAACCCTCCATTACCTTACACCATTCTTCCAAGGAGGAAGTGAGCTTGGTTTGGAGCTCAAAGTAAGGAAGTATATCCTTTAACTTAATCTTCAAGAGAAAGATAAAAAGTTGAGGTTTTGAACAATTTTGAGCTTCAACATTGGAGGAGAATGGTGGGAAAAGGAAGAGAGAATAAGAGAGGAAGAAACAAAACCTAAGAGAGAGAAAATAAAACAAAAGCTGCGTTGGGTAGTTTTTTTTCTTTTGCAATAGTGCTCACCGGGGAATGATCACGTACGACATCCTTAATATACGGTTAAAAAAAAGCGTTACTAGTTTTGTTATTGTTTAAATAACAAAATCAGTAAAAAAATTACCGAAAATATTATTAAGCGCTAAAAATGACCGATTTTGTTATTATTGGGCGTTTTAACCGAATTTTCGAAAAAATGACCGGAAATATTACTAGACGCTAAAAAATAATTAGGAATGTTAAAAAAAATGATGTTTTGGTAAAAATAATAATATTACCGGTAATTTTTTATCGATTTTATTATTTAAACAATAATAAAACTGATAATGCATTATTTTAGCCTTATATTAAGGTTTCATACCGTAGAACTGCCCTATTAGTTCAAAAACCAGACAAACTACTTTTTTATCTAATCCACATCAAGGATATAATTACAGCCTAAGTCCTCCAAGAATCCAGACTTTTAAAGTAATAGACTTCATAACAATTAGGTCAAGACCAAACCCAAGGCAAGCCCAACTTATAAGTCTAACAAGCCTTAACACTCCAACACTTGGATATCTAGATCTTAACACGAGTGGTTGTTCGTATCTCGGGTCGTTACAAAATAGCTCCCCCAATGTTATTTCACCCATATAAATAATGAACATGAGGGTGTTGGTAAAAAGTATTGCTGTAAAATGAAAATGTTCGCATTGACTAACATAAATGATAAAAAAATACGACATAATCACTATGTCATATAATCACTGTCTTAAAAGTAATTTCGTCTCGATTGATGTAATCACAAAAGTGGACTTTGCCCCCATGTTAAAATAGTTTTCCAAATTTCGTACACTCAAAATTATGAAATGGAACTCGCTTGACATTGCTCTTTTTGAAGATAAAAAAGAAGAGAATTGTAGAGAAAACAAGAAATTGGTATATCAAATAGTAAAGTACAATTTGATATTTATAAGAAAAGATATGGGGTAAATTAGTAATAAATAGAGGAAATTATCATAAAATCTCAACCACTATTCAATATCTCCCAAATATCGAAAAATCTTTTCTAAAAGGTTATTTATTTTTTATTTAATTATTTTCATTATCCAACAATTCCCCACTAATACAAATAAATAAAGATTATTGAGAACGAGAAAAGAGGAACAATGAAATTAGTCGCTTAAGCACTAGTATCTATTCGCTTTGAACTAGTTCATAGTGAAATAAGCATTTTTTTCTCTTAACAAATGAAAGAATCTTGAACTTGTTAAAATAGGAGTAAACTTATGACAAACGACTAATCTCAGATCCAATTGAATTCCACAATATATACACTACAACAAATTTTCTTATTAGTAGCATCTAGGTTATCGTCACTAAAACTTCAATTTACATCACTAGATGTATTTTGTAACATAAAATTCGATGTTACGACGATCGACCCTAGGTGTGTCACTAAATGTCAAAAGTGATGATATATATGTTATCGTCATGTATTGTTAAACATATAGTGACTTTAATGGATAATGTTACCGTTTAATTTGCATTTAGTGAAAATTACTTCTGTCACCAAATAATGTACATTTTTGTAATTAATAAATCGTATCGCCACCAATAACACAATAATTTCATTGTATACATGAGGAAAAGAAAATTGGCACATTGTTAGTGACGTAGTATATCGTCACCTAATAGTAGCATGGCTGACATTTATATATAACGTCATTATATAATTGATATTTAATGACAACTAATTCTATCACTAAATTATGTAAAATTTCGTTATTGATAATTTATATAACACATTAATATCAACATATATGTGACGAAAGTGATATTGTCACATTTTTAATAACATAATATAAATGTTATCTAATAATATTATGAATGACGTTTATGCATAACATCACTTTATAATTTATATTCTATGACAATTAGTTATGTCACTAAATTAAATAAGATTTTATTACTGATTATTTATATGGTCACAAATAATACATTAAAATCAACTTATATGTAAATAAAGAGATAATCACATTTTTAGTGACATAATATATCGTAAAACTAATAATATTATGAATGATGATTATGCATAACATCACCATATATAATGTCACCAATATAATGGCAAAACCCAAAACAGTCACATTTTTAATGATATTATATATTAAAATAGTTCACTTATTGCAAAATAATAAGATTTAAACAAATATTTCACTAAATACATAATAATTTCATTTCTATAAATATAAAAAATGTTTAAATGTTTAAAAAAAATAAAAATAATATGACTAGTGGAATAGTTCATTACAAGAATCTCAATCCAAACCTTGTGTCAGTTGTGATTCTGTTGATATTGAGTTTGTAGTATCACTTGAAGCGACAAATTAAAAATAATCAACATTCGTTACTACAATTAATATTATATAATAATTTTTATTTGATTAACTATATTGTTTACCTAAAAATTGAAGCGATGACACTTGAATTCCAGCAGCTAACAAAGCAGTCATAGCTTCCATCTGAGTTTGAATCAATTCAAAATTCGACTTACAATCATTAAATTCATCTTCTCTATTCTTCAAATGCTTTTTTAACTAGATTGTTTCTACACTTGAATTTGTTTTCTTAGGCTTTGGCCCATATCCAAGCCTCGGAATGTATCCTGAACTCGTACCAAGTACATCATCCACTATACCATCAATATTCTTGGGCTTTGCTCGTTCTTCAACTGGAGTTTATTGCAACTCCACCATTTTCTCTTAAAAATTCATTCATAAATAAAATAATCATTATCTCAGAAATTACAATTTAATACTTAAATTTTGTGAGGTCTTACATATTTTGCTTGTGCCTCAGATGTTGCATTTGAATAATGAGTTGCCTTGAAGAAATCTATCATATTTGGTTTTTCAACATCCTTGCGCTATATGATTTCAAAAATAAAAAATAGATTTTAAAATAAAATTAAACTTCATAATAAATATTAAAAGTGTCCAACTTACCATAGCATATCGGTCAGCGACAGAAGACCGAGATCCTTGATTAAGAGTTAACTTGACATTTCTTCTGACTCTTGCATTTGTTTCACACCTCCTCTTCAATTATAAACAAATATGTAGTAATCGTACTTGATATTAAGGATCACTAAACAAATATTATAAGATTCTTAAATAAATTAAACAAATGTATCTTACACTAGTGGATGCACAACAATTGTGCCTCAATTAGGCAGCACAACAAAAGACAGAAACAAAAATTTTAACACTTTTATTAAGCTTATTCCAACCCTAAAACCATATAATAATTCAATTTAACAAGAAAAAACCATAATATTTCTAACCATCAAAACGACAAAATGAGAGTACATAACTTGAACATAATTCAATTCCCTACCAAGTTAATATTTCAGTAGCATACACACAAAAACAGAATTAAAGCAATAAATACATGAGAGAATGAACAATTCACTCTTTTCGAATTCAAGCTCCTAATGGAGCAACACAACAAAGGTCATATGATAATTCAATTTAACCAAGGAATTTAACGGGTTTATTAAGTTTATTTCACCCCCTAAAACCATATGATAATTCAATTTAACCAAGGAATCAATTTAAAGAAGTTAACATTTTGGCATCCTCTTTGTGTTCTTCACCACTAAAAATTGCTTTGATTTTAACCCATTATCTATACGCGACCCCATAGGTTCACAAGCAGCATTATTATTGACTTCCTATTTCGATGCACATATTACTCTTGAGGCAAACAAACTGTTTTTCTTTTGTTTTTTAATTTGGACTTCCATATACATACCAGTGTTTTACAAAATTTTGAGGAACAATGTATGAAACAGAGGAAACAAGCTAAAACAATAACTTCCTCAGATTAAACCAATCCTAGTGTAGAATACAAAATGTCATACATACATGTTCCAAATTATACCAATTTAATCAAGCTATATATAAGGATGTGAAGTAATACCGATTGAACGAATAATTTTATCAATTGTGCAGTTGGAACAAATATATGGTCAACCATAAATAGTTACAAATGGTACGGATTAAACATGCATTTCAGCCATACATACAATTTAAGCAAATATGCTCGTCATTCATACAACTCAAACAGACATATATCAGAACAATCATAAGTACATATTAACAGTACAAGCAGTGGCATACGACAATCATCGTACACAGTACACGAATAAGTTTAGCACAAAGATTAGACACACAAATTAATAAGCGTGTACGCATTTTGAAATGTAAAGTGAGAGTCATGAATTAACAACGATAATCTTAGTTAATCAATATCTGATTCAGATTTAACATTTACAGTTTGAGAACACCTCAAAAATATAAAAATAATGTATTAATAACTAGGTTGAGTCAAATAAATTAGTGTAAAATGCCAGCTTATCTCATCAATGTCAACAAAAAGTTATCGGGTCTAACAATAAAGTTATCTGGATAATGTCGAACTGAGTTGAATTAAATGTGACATGTTACCGTATTCTTATTGTTATAATTATTAATAATAATAATAATATTCGAAAGGTAAATGAAACATTAACATATGGAAAGTGAAATAATAATATTATTAGTTATTATTGCTCCACTCCCAATCTTACATTTCAACAGGCAAAAGCTACCTTGCAAAATTCAATTTGCAATTTAAGGAATATGGAAACAGGGGAGGGGTTTCCACGATTAATGAATTTGGGTAAAAAATCAGGAAATCATTGTGCAACAAAGTAACCAGGAAAAACAACAAAAGAAATTACTATCACATACAACTAAGAAAATAATTATAATTGTAGCAGAGAACAAAGATGATAACAAGATGGCATAATAATCTGGACAGAGGGGCTCCTAATCATAGCAATAAGGCGATGGACGAAACTCAAAAATAATATATAATAGGATTGAGGTCTTACCCAAAGAAATACACTTGATTCATCTGACAAATGGTCAGAGTAAGGTAGCGATGACAACACAATGCTCAAGGCTCCAAACGGCTTGACCTTCGAAAAATACACGATAGAGTGAACAGATAAATAGCACGGAAGAGCGTTGGTCCTAGCGGTCAGGGAGCTCAATCGAATCGGAGATACTTGACCCATGAATGGATGGTCGAATGGTGATTCATGGCGGTCATAACTAATTGAGGAATCAAGGGTTTTGAGAGAATGGGAACGGCAGAAGAAATAGGTGGTTGAGGCAAGAATTATACCTATAAATAAAAATGGCTAATTTACAAGACAATCCACCCTTCTTTCGAGATGGGCACGGACCCGAACTCGATGGGTTTCGACCCGAACCGATCGGGTTGGGTTTTTTTAAATCTGGTTTAGGTCGGATCGGATTCGGATTTAAGGTGAAAATGTCCGACCCAACCCGATCCAAAAAAATATAATTTTACTTTATATATTTAGTAATAATTATAATAATACCCCTTTATATATTATTTTTTCAATTAAATCACTATTTTTATTGAATAAAAATAATATTTTATTATTATTTCAGGTCGGATCAGATCGGGTTTCATTTTATCTCAAAAAATTGGTCAGGTGGAGGGTATATATTTTTCGGGTCGGATCGAATTAGATGAATGATGTAAAATTTTCGGGTCGGGTTGGCTGAAACCCAACCTATACCCATCCCTAATGGCATGTCCAATTTTTATATTTTAGTGGTCCTACGACAAATTTAAAAATTAAAATTTTTCATAATAAGTATATAAAAGATTAACTTTAAGACTAGTTAAAAATAAATTATTTGTAATTATATATTTTGTCACTATAATTAAAATTTATAACTAAAAATAAAATTTATCACAAAATATTGAATCTAATTATTTGTTGTGACAATTTTTTCTTTAATAATTACTAAAACTTATAATTACAAAACTTGTCATTATATAATATTTTTTTGAACAAAAAAAATTGAAGGGAAACATTTGTGTCAAATAATGGAAACAAATTATATTTTGTAACCAAATGTTATACAAGTTTAATAATTGTGACAAAATATTATGACAATTTTTGTTTTTGTCACCACTGTTAATGTTTTTCTAATTTAGTGTGGCACTTATCTATTTTGTGACAAAAGTAATTTTGACAAAATTAAATTTGTCACAATAATAGAAATTATTGAAGTGATAAGATTATTAAAACCCTAAACTGATTGTACTATAAATAACCATATGAATTATATTTATTTCTTATTATTCTATTTTAAATTATTTAAAAGTTGTAGAATTTAAAATAATATGATCGATGTCAATAGTATTGGTACAAGTGGTTGAGATTCATGAATTTAAGCTTGTAAGACCAAGTTCGAATTTCACCACTGTTACTCTTGGTATAAAATATTTTCAATCTGTCATAATAAGGTATAAAATATTCTTGGTGCAATATATTAAGTGAAATAATTTCACAACGTATTTAAAAATCATCATATAAAAAAGATACAATAATGAGTGACAAATAATTGATTTTGCCATGCTAAATCTATTTTTTGTGACAAGAATAACACGTCACTTTTAATTTCTTATAAAATATGACAAATCAAAGTATCACGAATAAAATTTATTAGTGACAAATGTGCAACGTCGCGAATTAAAATCGCATCGTCATTATAATAAAACGTCACTAATACTTTTTTTCTATTGGAGACGACATTACAACGTCACTATTTTATCTAAATGTCATTAAAAGGTTTCCCACCAAAAATTTGGCGGGAAGATTTCGATGCCAATAGTGTTGGTACAAGTGGTTGAGATTCATGAATTTAAGCTTGTAAGACCAAGTTCGAATTTCACCACTGTTACTCTTGGCATAAAATATTTTCAGTCTGTCACAATAAGGTATAAAACATTCTTGGTGCAATACATTAAGTGAAATAATTTCACGACATATTTAAAAATCATCATATAAAAAAGATATAATAATGAGTGACAAATAATTGATTTTGTCATGTTAAATCTATTTTTTGTGACAAGAATAACACGTCACTTTTAATGTCTTATAAAATATGACAAATCAAAGTATCACGAATAAAATTTATTAGTGACAAATGTGCAACGTCGTGAATTAAAATCGCATCGTCATTATAATAAAACGTCACTAATACTTTTTCTATTGGAGACGACTTTACAACGTCACTATTTTATCTAAATGTCATTAAAAAGTTTCCCACCAAAAATTTTGACGGGAAGATTTTGGTGCCAAACATATAGTGATGAATCCTACTACCATCACTCTTGGTATAAAATATTTTCAATCTGTCACAATAATGTATAAAATATTCTTGGTGCAATACATTAAGTGATGTAATTTCACGACGTCTCTAAAAATCATTATATAAGAAAAGATATAACAATGAGTGACAAACAATTGATTTTGTCATGCTAAATCTATTTTTTTGACAATAATAAATCACCTTTTTTAATGTCTCATAAAATATGACGAATCAAAGTGTTTCAAATAAAATTTATTAGTGACAAATATGCAACTTCGCGAATTCAAATCGCATCGTCATTATAATAAAACGCCACTAAAACTTTTTTCCATTTGAGACGATTTTACAATGTCACTATTTTATCTAAATGTCATTAAAAGGTTTCCCATCAAAAATTTTGGCGAGAAGATTTTGGCGCCAAATATATAATGACGAAAATCAATGACCATTTTTGAAATAGTCATAAAAGATATAGTATTAATCACTAAATATGACGAAATGGAAAAAATGTCATGTTATATTATATTTTGTGGTGTTATACAACGTCATATAGAAATTTCGTCACAAATTGATAAATTTGTGTTTTGATATATGTATAATGCATAATGTATAAAATATGATACAAAATTAAGTGGTTAATTATGTTATGTGTCATAAATATTAACGTGTCATAAAAACAAAGTGTATATATCATAAGTTGTAATTATAATTTGACAAGGGATATAATTATAAATACATTAAAATAATTCAATAATCAATTATATAAAAAGGTAGTGGTCCCATGAAATATGTTAACTCATAATTATCTTCATCACTGTTAGAGAGTTTTACAGCAAAGGAAAATATATCTTCTTGAATGATGAAAATCAAATGACTCGAGGATTTCAAATTCATGTACTCTTCTTCATCTAGTATTTTATTTTAATGATTTAAATGATAGATCTTAATTTTGATTTCCATATTGATTATATTTTTGTTCTAACAAGTGACAACAATATCTCATCATATTGAATCATTGAGAATAAATTAATTTATATTATTTTTAAATTGATTCGTACTCAAGATTTACTAGGTAAATACATATTGATTTGGTGTTTGGGTTAAGAATGTGTTGATAAATCTTATTAGATTTTTATATTTTTTATGAATTAAACTTTTAGGGTTTTATCGATATAATTGCAATTAGTTCTTATGTTAATTGTATGATAGACTTTATGGATAATAATTAATTTTCAGGCGTGGAGATGCAGTCTCTATACTTACTATGCATTGTCGTAGATAAAGATACCCCATCTAAATCAGCCAAGAACGTTGAGATGCATCTGCTATTCCATGAACTCTTCTTAATATTGGTCGAAAGAGTTGGGTTACATTTATCATGATTATGAAAATTATTTCATTACCATCTCACAGGCCTTTGAGAAGATTCAACCTGAAAGTATCGATGCCTCTGCTTAAACTCATACTTAGGAGTTTCCCCATATTCTAGTTGACATAGCTCTGCGAATTTACCCAAGAATGTTGGATTCCTCCAGCAATTGAATTTTTTCTGTTGCAACTATGAGTGTTGAGATGCCTTTGTCTCAACAAGGAGAGATAGACACCTCTCTCTTTGCTCCTACAATGAAAAAGAAGCCTTTACCTGTTGAACAAGGATACCTCTGAGAGTATCGAATTGTCTTCTCTATCGACTGAAAAAAAATCGAAATTCTTTTTCTTTTAACATTGGTCGAAATGGTTAAGATGCCTCTGTACTGAAAATTGAAATGGATCAACTGACATATCACGGGTCATATAGATGCCTCCACCCAAAAAGTATTAAGCTACCCCTGTCCTACTCATGATGTTATACCGAGGAGTTGCCCCATAATTCATCGAACCTCCGAAGAATATGGGATCCCTCTACCTAACTAACAAGAAATTTCTTTGTTACTACACCAGTTGACATGTATCACAATGCTGGGATTTGTTCAGTTTGAGTTAATTCAATATCCTGATAAATCGACACTAATCTTAAATACCATAAATCATCGTTTCACCCTTATTAGATCAAATTACTAAGAATTCTCTAAGAACCAAATGTCTAAAATGCCCCTGATTTCCTAAATAATGGAATCACTCTTGTCATACCTGAAATCTCAAGTAACTTTGAAGCAAAAGATTTTGAATACCTTCCTGATTACTTAACGTCTCCGAAAAATACCCAAATGTTATATGATCTTGATAAATTACTTATTGGATGATTGATGAATCCGTCATCTATCAAACCCCCTTTATATAGAGATCTCATTTCTAAATTTAATCAGTTTGTAGAAGTTTCGGGTTTCCTCACTTGATAATTTCTAAGTACCTCCAGAAAATAATTGGATCCTCTAGTGTATTCTCTATATACTACATGGCTGTTTTATCTGTTTTGAAAAGCATTTCATCGAAATTTATGATTTACTGGCTTATGAACCATGGTTACATGGTATGTGTTCTCTGATTAGCGTTTTCACTGGAAAAATATAATTGTTCTTGATTTATGGATAATGGGATCTATTGGTTACTACTTGAACTGTTTTTTCGGGACATCATCTAGGTAGGTTGGAGTATGGAGGTTTAGATATGATCAAGTTGGTAATTCCTTACACACCTAAGGTGACCTTGGGTAGGTTTTAAGGTCCCAAGACACTCTTTTGGGTAAATCATGGGACTACATATGGTGTACGGGTGGAGGATAGTTATGTGGTTTCTTTCATGGTCACTCTTACGATATTTTATTGGATCACGATCCGTATATTACTGGTTTCTTCTAAATCTGATTTCTATTGGATACTATATGGGTAGAATTCTAGAGTATGGAGGTTCAGCTCTGATCAAGCCAGTAATTCCTTAGGGTGGCTCTTTTACTGTGTGCTTAGGGTAAGTCCTTATGGATACAGTTCTAGGGAATTGTATATTGGTATTCGGCT